TTACAAATGTGCCCTTAACAGAGGTGGTCTTGCAAACATTGGGGGGGAAAAAAGAATGGAAAATTCTATGTTCACGCCTGAACATGCCAGATTTCATCATTCATAACTCGAAAAATGCTGAAGTGATTTTCTATAAATTTGGATTGTTTTTCTTTCCTCTATTAAAGCTATAAAACAAGCCAAGTTTAAAGTTTGTAGCTTCAGCTGTTTTTGAATTATGCAAATATTTCAATATAAAAGTATGTTTTTCCTTTGCTGAACTGATTTTGCTCAGACTTTCCAAAGACTTCCCTTTGGGCCAAGACCAGTCATAAAATGTATCTGACTAAAAGTAATTTGTTTAAAAATGTTATGAGCAACTCTGTAAAAGGGATAGCTTTCACAGCATTTGATTCTGACAAATGTTATAGCACACATATAGATATGACATATATGTACTTGCCAGAGCTTGTGATTTTTGGTGAGTTTCTTAAAAGCTCCAGCTGCTCAAATCAGGAGATTGCATGTGTTCATTAACTCTCCCCCCTTTCCCTGCATATGTATTTTTTGTGGTTACGGAAGAAAGTGTTGAAACATGAAATGAATGTATCCCATAAGCTCAGGAACCCTAAGTGAAATCCAGAATCTCAGGCCTGGGAAGAGGAATATGATGGAACAAGGCTGTGGTAGCGGGACCAGAGTCTTGATAGCCAAGTAATTCCCAGTATGGACGAGGAGCATTCGCACAAGGAATTAACCCAATACTATTCCTCAAATAAACTGTTCTGGTAAGCAAGTCCACAGATCCTATTTTCAGTTACCAATACCTTTCCCAAACCATAATCCTCTGTACTGAAGGGTTTCGTCACAGGTGTCTCTCACAGGCTACTTTTTTCCAAGAGAGTTTTATCAAAATTCAGTCATGTTGGGGACCGATGCTAGAGAAAATCACATTTTTGTCAATGCTAATTCTTAGGGTCACCGAGAAGATCCAATCCCTCCACGTTCTTCAGTAAAAAGATAAAATTTGACATCATAGAAAAATGCACCTCAGGTTGCCCGGAGAGGTTGTAGATGCCCCATCCCTGGAAACATTCAAGGTCAGGCGGGATGGGGCTTTGAGCAACCTGATCTAGTTGAAAATGTCCCTGCTCATTGCAGGGGCGTTGGACTAGATGACCTTTAGAGGTCCCCTCCAACCCAAACCATTCTATGATTCAATTTCGTGAAGATGAAAACTTCAGACAACGCTCATTTGCACATGCTCTGTGGAGTCTTATTAGAAGCTGACAGTTAATTTAGTCAACATTTCATCTGCCACAGCTCTTGTGTGCCAATCTTAAGCACTCCTTTCCTTCCCTATAAAACACACTGATCACACTCAGCTTGAATTGGAGCTTGCCTCTTCCTTGCAATTATTCCTACTGACAGAGAACAGGAAGGAAAGGGAGAGAAAAGGGGCCTTGGGGCTGGAGTACTGTGACAGAGAAGATACAAACAGACAGTAGAAAGACCCAATGTGCTCCATGATAAAGAGACAGGAATTTTTCCTCTGAAAACACAAATAATTCAGACAGCCAAAGAAAGTGGACTGACAAATGGGAATGGCTTAGATTGGGACTGCTGATGCAGTTACTGCTTCTCACCATTTTCATGATCTACTCCAGTTGCACGGGCCTCTAAGTTGCTTGTCAATCCATGCCTGAGTGTCTACAGCTCATGGTCTGTTTGAGGTGAGCCACCAGTGTTTTTGGTGGGCATTAAAACAATGTTGTGTAAACTATAGCAATTCATAAGCTGACTAAACAGCTTTGCAGTATGGCTGGGCCAGATTGTTGGAGGAAGTAGATGTTTTAGCTGTCTCAGTCTAAGCTCTCTCCCTCATCTATCAGAGCTATATTCTCAGAACTTTTTGGTCAGTCTTTTTTTCCTTTTGGTAACAAACTGCGCCTTTCTGCCCTATGGTCTACTCCTCAAATACCTGTTGATACTTCCATTCTCTGGAGTGTCCAGGAATCAACAACTGTCGCCACAGTCCTCTCCACATGTAACCATGAGCTGTATTTGGCCTTCTTCATGCCACCAAAAACCCCAAGAAATTCCACATCTAATTTCCAGCAAATATAATTTTGTGCCCTTTCATGAATGAGCTGGCAACCTGCAACAACCCCTATTATCCATCTTATTTACTCTCCTTCCAGCCAGAGCTGTATCAAAGTGTATCCCCTTATTATTTCCATTACCTGATCTCCCATTCAGCCTACACATAACTCATTGAAGAGGTGCACTCCTCCTCTCGTAACCCAGCCCTTCTCAACTTAGCCCCATGGCTGTCTTGTCCTCAACAATACGCAGAGGCTTTGTCTGACAGAGGAAACGGAGCTCTGTTAAGGATGCTCTTACAGCCTCAGTGTTGCCTTTCTCATCTTGCCATGCATGGGCAGGGGGAAGGGAAAGAAGGGGAGGTGGCCATCCAGCTGTGTCTCTTCACCAAGTGGAGCCCAATCCAAGCTATTCACTTCTACTCCCATGGCTCACAGTAATGCTAGATGCTTCGCATTGCTGCTAGAGAGCAGAGACCTTTCCGTGGGGAAAACAGAAAAGGGGAGGAGGGAAAAAAAAGCAGAAAAACCACAAAGGCCAGCTTCACCTTGGAGTCTTTTACTCTCACGCCTGTAAGCTCCAGGTCCATCCTGTGCTCTTTCAGGGAACGTAAACAGAGACCACTAGAATATGTGATACTCCCAACAGCTGATGAAAGATGGTTAAAGGCAGCAGTAGCAGGAAAGAAAGGAAGAGTAGAGTCCTTTGCCTGGATACTGATCCCCTCTGGTTGAGTCACTACTGACAGAAACATCTTTCAAATAATAAACATGTTCTTATTATGGACAAAATATAAAGCAGAAGGTACTGACAAGCACATCCAAATCCATAGCTGACTTTGCAAATACAATTTTAATCTAAGCACAAACTTATTGAGAATATATTGTTTCCTCAGAAAGTCAGGATAAACAACTACACACAGCCTGCTTTTTCAAAAAAGCTATTCTTCTTCTGTGCATTAGAAAAAGGAAACTGGTAACTACTCCTAAATGCAGCACTTCTTCCAGAGATCATTTAGAAACTTTTTACGCTTTCCACTGCAGGTTTCAAAGCACAACTAGACCTAATTAGCGTTGAAATAAGTGTGTTAGCAGGATTCTATGCCATTCTGTGGTACCATCATATGCTAAATTAAGGGACACATTTTCCTTCCTTCATTATTATTTTAATGTGAGGAGGTGGGAAAAAGATGATCCACACCAAAGGAAGGAAAAGGGGGGAAAACAATAACAAATTGGTATCTCTTTTGAGAATTGCCCCACAGGCCAAACATTTTTATGTTCTTAATCATTATTAAATGACTTAACATGACACACAGAGCCTGGCGAATGATTGCATCCTGACATGAGAACGAATTACAAATGAAATGAAAGATCAAGCTGTATTAGAGGACTGCCTCTGGGAAATGAAAATCTTTAATTCTCTTTTATTATTGACATTTATTTGGCTGCCATGAATAACAACATAGCAAAGAGATTCAGCTATGCTTGTGCACTGAATAGCTTATCCCACGGCTCAAAACTGCCTTAACATTTATCATGTTTGCTTTTGTAGCTGACACCATTGCACACACTCTCTATCCATCTTGCATTTATCATGCATATATAGTGCATTCTCTAATTTAAGTTCATTTCATAGCGAACAACCAGCTAAGATTAGCAAGTGTCAGTCCTCAAATAAGCTCCCAGTTGTAAAAATATCAAAGAAGGGATTAATGGATTTGTTAACAACTCTAGTTTGAAGAATAATATAAGTACACAGTGAAAATTAAATAAGAGCACAGGAGGGTTACATATAAGATTTAGGTTTACTACCGTTATTACTAGCTCATGTATAAAAACATTTTTATACTGCTATTTTTCAGCCAACTGTACAATACTCAAGTGGAGTGCCTCCATATGGGCCATTCACGTAATGCAGTAACTTTCTGGAAGCAACACTTCCATCATTATTCAGTGAGATACGCATACCCAACTCTCAATGACTGCTTTCTATTTCCTTTAAACCAGTTTGTAGCTAACAAAATAGAGGAAGAAGCAAACTATTGGAGAAATCATTCAAACTGCTGCTAAGAATGATCTATATAGCACTGACATACCTACTTAGTGCCTAGCCCCGCAGCCACAGTCTGAAGCCAATTCTGATTTTGAGGCAAATATCGTATGAGTAAGCACCGGTCCCTCAGGTGCAAAGCTTCCTCAACTTCACTTGCTTTCCAAAGGAGGAATTCAGCCCTGACTTACCTTGTGAAGGAACGAACGACTAAAACGGCTTGCCACAGCACATGTTTTTAATAGCTTTATTTAGTCTAGAAGCATAGGTGGACAGAATTAAAGAGACTGTCAAAAGGTAGGCAGTCATGTTTATAATGCTTAAATCTGTGCATCGTACATCATCAATTTAGACAGCACAAACTACTTGTATTCCTGCTAGAACACCTTTTTCCCACATACTCCTTTGAGAATAGAAGAGCAGACGGCTGAGAGAAGCTAAAGTGAGATTTTCTGCTCAAAGCAAAAAAGCCTGGAAATTCACTTAGTACTGGATTTCACTTCCTCCTCTTCACAAATGTTTAAATATACTATACTGTTGCACAGCTGTTCTCAGCAGGCATAGTGTGTTCTTGTTTGCAGCAAAGATGGCTACACAGATAAAATCTCAAGTCATAAAAATCTGAGTAAAACCAACTGGATCAATATTTTAGATCTATGTTATAAAAAAAGAACTTAAGATGTTCAGAACTAAATTCTCATCAGAATCTTAAAACAATTAAAAGCATAACAGATGAGAAACACGGACTAACATCATAAGGCAAATGCTCTGACTACCATTTAACAGTTACAATTTATAAAACCACAACTTGTAATTGATTAACTAGAATATTTACTGTGAGCAACAGTGGAGATTTGAAAATATACCTGTAGCCATTACAGTGTCATCTTTCCCCTGGGTAAAGACTACGATTCGTTGCCTTTTAGTGTTCACCTTTGGCAGGGCTTGTGTCTTCCGGGCTATCTCTTTAATGTCTTCAGTCTATTAACAGAGAGAAAGAAAATTCTTGTTACCAGCATACTAGAGCGGTGAGAGATTAGAACTTTATTAGCAGATCAAAGATTTATTTTCTTATGGCTAGGTATAAAATAGACTTTATTGTCAGTAGAGGAAGATTTTTAAAAGGAGGAATACTTCATTCTCCAAAGGGTTTATGTAGTACTATGAGACCATTGTTTTTAATCTTGATAATGATAGTTCAGCTATTCCAATTGCTCCAAAACTGCAAAGCTAACAAAGGAATTACAGAGCATTTCCTAATGAGCAATTAGTGGGTTTCTTTGCTGCTGACTGGATTCTAACCTTACCTATCATAAAATTAAAAATAAAATTGGTAAGAGAATACTTTGGATAAACTCTGAGCCTGATTTTCATCCAATTTAGCCAGGTTTTATAGTACTATAATCCCTCCGATTTCAGCAGGAGATTACAAATACTGTTTCTCTAACTTCCCTACAGCAACTGATGTCTCTCAGCAAGCAAACTGACTGTATGCTGCAGCACCTTAGAAGGTGTGGAGCCCAGGTGAATATGCTCTGTGCTCACTAGCTGGCTGCATAATTGAGATGCAGGGAAGCAAAGGGTGAAAGCTATATTCAGTGGGGCACAGAACATCCCTGATTTTCTGAAGGAAGGCTGCGCTGCAAAAATTTCAGGAATCTGCTTTAAAGGGACTTTGTCTGTACACCATGGTGCATGTAGCTAGGAACAGAGAAACTGGCATACTGAACTGAAACTCTCATCCATCCAAACAGCACAAGTTGTCATTAGAATATTATCCTTCCTGTTCTCATAGTTGCCCTATGATCTGAAACACAAGGATTTCAATTTCTAATTTACTTAGTTTTCAATCTAATCTAAATATAGGTATTCCTGTTATTTGTATAAGCATCAAATCCTTTTAGAATGCTATGTGGCAAGCTTTTGTTCTCAGATTTATCTCAAGTCAGTAAGTTCTACAAATTAACTTTGGTATATGTAAACCTATTCCTTGCCATAATTTATACATTTTCTTTTTTTCTTTTATTTTTTTAACATTAGGAAAAGTAAGAAAGACTATAATTATTTTCTGTGCTACTTACCATGTCCCACTTTATTCATATCTGTGTTAAATAACACCATACTTTTTTTCCCCAGTTTGCGCTTGTGTACAAGCAACTGTAGTGAAACATAGCTGATTTGGTGAGGGCCTAGTGTTGCATATATGAAAACATAACATGTTTCATGAATATATGAAAACATAACAATACCTTCTGCATTGTTTTGTGTCCTGTTTCTAAAGCTGTCCAGAGTGGTTTCAAGTCATTTACCAGAGTTGTTACAATTAATTTATATTATTATTAAATTATTTTTATCTTCCAAAATCAGCATATAGTGTTATTTTGAAACCCAGCAGTACAGTATGTGCCATTTTGACTGCAGCTGCTGATTTTAACAAGAGGCTGATTATTTTTCATCAGCAGGTCAGTTAAACACTTCAAGAACTATGATCTGCATACCATTCAGTCCCGGTTACTTGCTGATTTTTTATGATCTTGTTGATCTTCAAGCACTTCACCTTTATTATGGACAGAGAATATGCCTGGGCTATATATTTACCAGTATCTCCTTATGTGAAAATTATCTAGCTCTTTTGCAATACTCTTAGCCTCCCTTTAATTTCTTCCCCAACTCTGGTAGTCATTGAGCTCTTTGATTTATACATATTTGCCAAACATGAAAATAATTTCCCCTTATTTATTGTTCTCTTTACCTCTTTTTAAAATTCTGTCATACTTTTCATTTCTGTACACTACACTCATTTGTGTTATTTCTTCCTTCCTCCTGCTTAGACTGTTAATATAGCTTTTAGAAGGCAAGACCTTCCACCAGAGAAGAAAGAGAACATTGAACCCCTCTGCGTGGACAGTGAACAGGGGCTATCTTATGCCTAATTCTCAAAAGGCAAGGAGTCCCTTAAAGATGCCAGAGAAAAAAATTGAAATTGCTGCTCTTCTGTTTTGAAATGTCTTTTTAAGAGATTTGTGAATAGCAGGTATCAGCTGGTGGCACAAGCTGTTGAAAAGATGGAGAATTACAGCCCTCCAGCTTGGTAATATGTAGGCTTCTGAAGGTTCACCTAAATTCTCAACTATTTCAGGCCTTGATAATTAAGAGATCCATGAACTAGAAAATGCAATAAAGCATCATGGAGATCAAAGGAAACAAGAGAGGTGTTTAGTTTTTGCTAAGTAGGAAGTGGCTACTAGTGACTTTATTAAGCACATTTACAGTGGAGCAAAGCAGGCACAGAAATCAAAGAGCTTGAAGATATTTGTGGAATGTATTTACATGCACTTTAAATTTTAAAAGGAAAATGAGGAAGTTATAATAGGAGAAAATGGCATGATCAGGAGATGATTTCTTCAGTTTAAGGAAGAATAAAGATGAATTTATATGAGGGAAAGAGGGCCAATGATGGTAAAGGTTGAAATAAAGTAGACAGCAAAAGAAAGTAAAAAGTACCAATATTTTTAGGAAGGATTAAATATATAATAAGCATGTAACAGTAGAGGGAAGGTATTTAGGGGAAAAAAGGCAATTTTTTAAAAAGCAGAAATTTCAAAACAGAGTGCTTTGGAGACTTGTGTCTGATTGTGCAGACTTTAAAAGTAACTGAATAGCATCTTCTGAGAGAATTAACTTGGCCATTTTTAGCCAAAATCACTTTCTATACTATAATTTTTTCAAAGGAAGAGAATAAAATAGAGCTTATATAGTGGAAGAGCTGCAATCTCAGTGTTGATGAGGCTTTGACTTTTCTGCAATATATCTCCACCTTACCATTATGTTGTATTTTGAAGGTACAACTGTGACATTTTATAATATGTGAATATTTACAGCTTAAGACTCTAGAGGTACTATGGCCCTCATTTCAATATCAGGCAAACATCATGAAATGCTGTCATCTCCTATTTCTGTTCAGAATATACATAACATTTTCACATAGCTGAAATGAATAATATTTGTTTTGCACTGACTCGTACTTGCACACTTATCGAGACTTTCTTATACATCCTGTATCTACAGACATGGCTGAATGGTAAGACTGTACTGGTTTGTGGTCCTAAATCCTCTACAACGTGTCCCAGATTCACAGGATACTCACACATATCCAATTATACACTTGAATCTGATTTAACAAAGCTGACATACAAATCTCACAAAAGCGTGATTTGCCTATTGATGCTGCACCTGAAAAACCTTGCATGTAGCATTCATTCCAGCAAGTAAGTGGAATATATGCGTGTAAAGAAAGTACACCAGATATCCCAGGATCAGATAGAGGTATGTGAAAAACTGCATACAGTTAAAACTGCTAGTCAAACTATGTCTTCTGATCTTTGCCTCTGAACAGGTACACGATACCTGGGACTACCATAGCCCTGACCTAAACAGGCATAAATCCATTGGCAACAGTGGACCTGTGCAGTGTACCTCATTAACTTGAAGACCTAAATTTGGTCCAGGGTACCAAAACTCTCTAATTTGGCTCCCCAACCAATACATCCTTAGGAGGAGACCTCTGCCTGTAACAGGAAAAATTATTTTGCATGGCATCTGCTGCTAACCCCTTAGATACACACTGTTCCATTCGCTTCATTTTACTTCTTGGGTTGACAGACAGAATTGAACCCTAAATTTTATGTTAAAGTAGGATCATGTTTTCCTAATTCCTACATAGGATAAACAGAAAGTTACCATTTTGTAAAAACAAAACCTCACAAACCTTTGTCCTGGCAATTTTGTTATTTGAAACTTACTACAAACATCCAGTTAAAATACGCTGACAACCATTCTACCACTTCAAGGGGAACCAAGTCCAAGAACTTTCCTGAGATAAAAATTGTGACTCTTATAATGTATTACTGAGATGACTGCAATATACAATTAGGATGAAGCACTGTCTTCGCAGACAGTGAATTTACTATTTATTTAACAGTTTTAAAATGTCACAGAACGTGAAATTCACAAAAACAACCCCACTGATGCACTCCAGGAAGAGACTGCATCAGAAGCAATGTTCTACTTCTGATTATTACAGATAAGTGTTGGTCAGGAGATAAAATGAAGGAAATAATGGTCTTCAAATACCGTGATTGATTTTACAAAAATACCTTGGATTTCAGCAAAGTACAATGGAAAACTAACTCTTGGTAAGGTGAAGCATAAAAAGAGAAATTCCTTTGAACATGGTTTCTCTTACAAAGAAAAAACAAATTTCTGTCATGGAAGTGTTTTCTCCTGCCTATGACAAGACTTCATTTCTTCAGAAAAGGTGTGTTTTTTCCTGTAGTTGACTTGATTGTACTTCTTTTTTTTTTCAAAAATTGTTTCAGATATACTTAACTCGATCTATATTTAAAAGATGCATTTAGTGCATGTAAACTATTGAAATTACTGGAAGATAGAAAGGGAGACAATTAAAAAAAAAGGCAAAAAAAGAAAAAGCTAGTCACAGCTGGTTCTCCATGATAAAAGATTTTTGATGATTTTTGTTAAAAAACAAAATTGTAGGCTGCAATTCAAATTCAGCTACCAGCAACTTTTCATCACTTCTATGATAAATATCCTCTTCATTTTTGCTCTGGTCACTCCGGCCCTCCACTTTACTTTTCCGTGTTTCGTCAGGTCTCTATTCTCAATATAAATTGCAGAATCAGTTTTACAAGCTTTTGAGAGTTGCTGGCAATTCTTCTTGTTTTTAATTGCAAGGCTAATTGTAGCTCTTTAAGTTTTTCCTAAGATACTTTATTGGTAGTGTGGGGTTTTTTTGACTCCACAGCACAATAGGAAAACAAGACTGTGGACACTTATCAAGTTTTACACATCTCTGTCAGTAAACTTGACATGTGAGTTGTTGCCAAGCAAGGGGGTAATAAGAGATAAGATCATAATCATTGTGCACTTTACTGATATGCTGTAATCAAATGTGGCAGATTTAGGATGTTCAGAAGGAACTGTGCTAGAATCTCTAAGCAAGCACTAATGGAAAGGTTAATATGATGGTAGTTAGCAGGCACCAGCAAAAGCAGTTTGTCACTGGAACTGAATTTAAACCAGGCACATTCAAAGTCTTTAGCTCAAGGGGGCAATAAAAATATAGAATGGGTAGACTTAATACACTACTTCCTTTCTTTTTTTATTGTCTAGCTACCAGAGGGTACCAATAATTTGTTATGCTTCATATTATATTTGGAGGTATCTGTGAAATTCATTCATTTGATAGAATAAACTGAAAGTGTATTTTTATGCTAACAATACAGATTATACAAATGAAAATTGACAGTGATAAAAAGTCTTGATTTCTACAAAGCAGCCACAGGAATTTGGGAAACATAAAATGAAATGGGACAGCCCACAGCTTTAATATCTAAAACACTGATGGCATTGATGTACCTGCTGGTGTATGGTTCTAAAGAAATCTAAATTGTAGAACAAAAGCTGTCAGTCCTTCCCTCTTTTTTTATATGCAACCATCCACACACAAAAGTGGCATGTTCTTAAAGTGATGCGGTTTGAATTGCGCGGCTTCTATTATTTATGCAAAATGGGTGGTGAGCAATCAAACTCCTATCTATTCTTTTACACTGCAAACAAATCAGTTAAGGTGGGTCTTATTCCAAGTGAAAAAACACGTAAAAGGATTTATGTGTATTCAGTTCTCCAATTTAGATTTCAGTAAGATCACTTACTATCTGCAAAATTAGCACAACCGTTGTCACGTTAATCATAGTATTTAAAACCTGCCTATTTGAATTCAGCATTAGAGACCAATAGCTGATAGCTCTCCAGATTAAGTTATCTGAATTTCACCAATGGGAGATACTATTCAAATAAATACCTCAAGAAGATGAAATCAAAAGCTCTGAAAACCACTGTAAAATCAACAGTGTTTACTTAAGAAAGTAGAGGATCATACATTTTTAGAGCACAGATGGAAAACACCAACTCGAATATGTTTTGAAACACAAATTCCACACTACCCCTTCTAAAAGACGCTGTTTGTAGAAGCATGGTTTACATTAATCAGTACCTAACAATTTTATATACAACCTTTCTAAAATTCATTTGCATAATGATAATCCGCATATGGCAGGGTTTAAGTTATTTAAGCGGTGTTATATTTCACTATTTAGTCTTGCTTCACCACTGCTTTAGCAGTGAATCCTTATGGAGTGTAATGCAGCTAATGAGGTAGCTTTTTAACTGAACAAACTGACAGGTCCCATATCTGCAGAAGCAGCTTGAAACCGTGCCCAACCTCTCGGCTTCCCAAGAGGCTTTTCAAAATTCAATAAATAACATCTGTAGGCGATGTTGGGTGCAGACCTAGCAGAGTGCGTCATAACACTGAGCTGGCAGAACAAAGAAACCATGACGACTGCCAAGTTTCCATGGCAACCGCTGCGAGGCTTGGAGAGTATAATAGCACATCAATCATTGTCCAAAAGAACTTCATTATCAGCAAGAAAAAAAACCTTTAGGATCTGTTTAGTGTGCAATTGTGGGTTAACTCACCTCAAAGCCTTGCTCTCTAGCAAAAGTGGCAGCTTCCTGAAATAATAAAAAAAGAACAGTTAATTATAAAGTGCTAGATAATGAAGAAATAACACATTTTGAAACTCATTCAGCCAGTTTTCCTTTTACACCATTATCTCAATATACCCATATACAGTTGTTCAATTCTGATAGTCGCACCAAAAGCTTCCCCCTCCTTCCCTCAAGCCCTACAACAGCACAATGTCAACACACTTCGCAAGTTCAAATTAAGAAGGTACAATATGTTTTTTCCAGGCGAGGAAAGTTACTTCTGGAGATAGGACTTTGACTAGGAAACCACTACTTCAAATCCAGACAAACATCCTTCAGACACATTTTTAATTGAAATTGTATCATATCTCCATTTACGTATGGCACTTCATGGGATACAGGTCATCAAGCCATTTTAAAAAATCATGTGTCATCTACGGTGCATTAAAAAAATAGGATCACAAAATGTGTTCAAACCCTTGTGGTGGAATCAGATGAGCATTTTAAAATACTCTGATGTCTTAATCACTGCTTTAGGCAATTTAACTATGTTCTTTTCCTGAAAGAACAGAGGAAACATCAGGGTATCAGAATGTCCTCATTTCTTATTTATATTAATTGGAGCAACTAAAATCTGTTTTGAAATAAAAGCAAGGAAACAGAAGACAATGAAATGTTTTTCCCCTTGCTTACTCACTTTCTACCCTAACATTGCAAATATTGCAGAAAACCCTCAAGGTCTTTATGTTTTTACTTGTATTCTTCCAGATTATCTTTGCCAAGTGGTATTAACAGAGGGATAAGTCTTGAGCCAAAATGGTGAGTTGATCCAACTAAACAAAAATAACTACCGTACCAAACCATTTAAGTCCACCGTCCCTACGACAGCTTTTAGTGCTGCAGAAAATACATACTTGTGGACCTATATGATCTCCCAATTTGGGGGCAATATAAGAATTTGAAGTGGGTACAATTGATTATAACAACAGTAAGTTGAGGTTAATAAAATGTGATAAGCTGAAAAGCACAACTCCTCAGGCTGCTTCACTGCAGAAACATAAGGCTGACCGGGTTAGCCTTAGCTGATGTTGACAGAAAAACTGAATCATGGTCCTGACAATTGGGTGCGGGCAAGGTTAGCCACTTTGACAATTTACTTACAATTGAATTCCTTCTTGTACATCACACAGTCAATGACATTTGCTAGCCTGGCTGTCAAGAAGGAGTGTAGGGTTCAAAGATATCATGCAGTGTTTTCCTAAACCAGCATGTGATTAACAAAGCCTATGCTCGTATGAAAAAAGGAGCCTGCAAGCTTCCACTCTGAAGTGATGCACTTACAATGAACTGCAACACAATCAAGAAAACCTCAAATGGGACTGGCACACAGAAAAAAACAAAAATAAGAAAAGTAAGGGAGTCATAAGGGGGCAGAGGATAAGAAAATGGACTAAAAATGATGTACTGTAGCCAAATTATTTCTTTAACCTCAGGTTTTTGGTCATGCAGTTGAAATTGGAAGTTACACCGATCTGTCCTAAGCGGATTTCTTTAATGTCCCAATGCAGCAGGACATTAACATCTGTGTTAAACTATTGTTTGGCCAGGAAACTGGACACCAGTACATTCTTACATCTGTGAAATAAAAACTATTCTAGTTAAGTAGTATTTCCTTATGTGGGAGACTTTGAGAGAATTCATCTTATTTTTTTTGTACTGGGGCACCCATGCATAGCACATGTGGTTTGAAAGACCTGGCCCTTCCACAAGAAAGGATAAATGATTGCACATTTGTTAAAAAGTATCTCATCTTCGGATTTTCCTGTTAGAGTGTCATCTTTTAGCCTGGTCTGCTGCCCGGCTACATGAGTAATGGTAGCTAGCATACAATCATAGATTTTCCTGCAGTTGACCTCTAATCTAAGGGTGTCTGAACGTGCCAAAGAACAGCAGCAATCTTAATTTTCTTCTCTCCTATCAACTGAACCTCAGAGTAACTCCTGAGCAGCTTCTTTCAGTAAGGACTCTGCCTACAGCCCCCTAAGAATCAGCCTCTCTCAGAATTACACCCCTTTAAGAATTAAGGCCTTTCCAGTAAAAAAAGGTAATAAAGCTCAAAACACACGTTTGGAGACTACAGTTTGGTGTTTGCAAAATGGTGAGAAATGTGAGGCAGGCCCTGAATGCCAGGGACAGTTCAAAGTAAATTAACCAGATAAAAGCGATGAGAACCTTTTAGTATCTGTTCACAATAACAGTGAGAACAGGAAACAAGCAGACCCCATCTGTGCAGCCCTAGGGCACCTCATATTGAGCTTCATGTCTCTAATAAAGTAGTCAGGTTAAAATCTAAGTGGCTGTAACATGTGGAGACTGCTAGGGTTACAACGGCCAGCCAGGGCGTTCCCTGATGCAGGTGATAATCAGTATGATAATCACTATATTTACAGGCTTTCCATTTTATATCTGACATTGGAAATCACGAAGAAGGAGGGATTAAGGAAATAAACAACCTACACAGAAGCTTTACCGCTCCCCGGAGAATGCAGCATTTTCATTCATGCGTGACAGGCGACAACAGCAAAGCAAAACAGCGACAGAACAGAATTTTCTTAGGAGGCTTCATTTCACATCAGGAGTTTTTTCAGTTTTGATAAACTTTAGACATTATTCATTCATTACTCCAACTCAGCACTTTCAGAGCTATTTTCCATTATTGTCTACAACAGAACATCTCATTTTATAAAAACCTCTCCCCCACGTTTTTACTCTTTCACACTAAATATACTAAAATCTCACACTCTTTTTTCCTATATAATCTTTTTACTAACCATGACAGCGAATTTATTGCCGTGCCACCTAAAGTAGAGATGGGATTTGTTATTAGTTATGAAACATTATTTGGCTCATGCAGTTCGGGGGAAAAAAAAAATCTTAAGTACAGTCACGCTGAAAAAAAATGTGTACAGCGTTACTTAATGGGAGTAAAACACCGTCACCCAAGTTAACACACACCCTCTCTTTGCACAATAGTGAGCAGTTTACCAAGGAAAGTGAGATAAATTAAAGAGATAACAATAAAAAAGACAACTTCCGTTAGTACTGGCCTTGCTGTTATGTTAGAACTCGCTCGCTAGCTGAAAACTATTTCCATTCTTGCATGTATTTTATTGCTGTTGGAGTCCCAGCATTTAGTAAATGGAACTGCCTATAATCTACACTGGGGCTAATTGTAACAGGACTTGTTAAAATTCTGAGCCCTTTTATCACCAGCAATACAAACTATTTGTTTACAAGTAAACAGAAACATACCCTCCAAACACAGAATTCATTAGCGTCTGCATTCCTAGGAGTATTTGTTAGCCCCCTGCGTTAGAAGAATTTTATGATTATAGAGTTAAGATGGCTCACGTTCCGTTTGCCATAAGACACAGAAGGCATACTATATATTAAATATTCTCCACCCATCCAAATTTTTTTTTGTTGGTACCAAGGTTTTATGATGACTTGATCAAATTATAGCCAAAATGGTAACAACATGCATGTTGGGTTAAATTTCATTCATGTAGGCCAACATAAAACTCATGCAGTTGCATTGAACAGCATTTAAAACCATGTATTGCTGAAATTAGCTGACAAAGACTGTTTCAAAAGCACCACCAACAGCATTATCTACAATATGCATTTTAACCTTTATACAGAGAAAAGGAGCACTGTAAAGTAAATTTGCATTTCATTGCTGAAATCAACATTATCTCATAAAGAAATGATAAAACAGCAGGACAGCAATGATACCCGTGCACACTGAATGCATTTCCCGTAATTACACAAGAAAGTAAATGCAGGGGACACTGAAGCTAATCCCTCCCCTGCCATCCTTCTTGGTAGAGGAAACATCTCACAGAATAACCTAAGCTCACATATTACAGTAGTACCCTGTGCAGCTCTCTCTAATTCTCTATTTTTCCTGGGGGGAGGGAAGGAGAGGAATTGGATTTGATTAACTTTTTTTAATTGGGGGATTACTGGCGGGTTTTGAGGGAGTTCTTATGGCAATAACTGAAAACTTCCTGACTTACCCAAAATAAGTCCAAAACAAGCCCTATTCACATTTTCAGGGATATCCTCCGCTTCCTCTGCATAACAAATCTGTGACTTAGTGCGTTCAGCCTGGCCCATGAATCAACGTAATCTTAAGCCGGCACACACACATACAGCATGTATAAGTACAGAGGAAGATCCTTGCAGTAAATCAGAGTGCATAACGACAAAAAGAAATAAAAAAGCAAACTTGAGTGGACTCACTCAATAAGAAACAGTCAATGACTATGAGGACCATCCACTTAGTGTTTGCATTTGATGGAACCATTCCTACTGGTACCAACCATGTTTGATTATAACTCGAATAGTACTTCCACCACTATATCTTACAAGACTTTTTTAACTGCTAAAATCTTCTAAAAATCAGTCTTAAATACTTCCTTCCTCAGCTTCAGGCTACTGCCATTGTATGACTGTCTTCTAAGAAGTACAAATTGTTAGTTTTCTTCCATTTACTTTGTTTCCTTCAACACATTAAAGGCTACAATCATCTTGCTCAGATAATTACCTTTTTCTTCAGTATAATCATTTAGTAGTATCAATCCCACTCATGAGTTCATCTCTAAACCTGGTATATCTTTGTGTTCTTTGTATCCTCTCTTGCTTTTCTATAGCTTGCCTTGTTTGCTGCAAGAAAGTGCTAGTTGCAGAAGTTTTCTCTAACATTAAAACCCTGTTACCTAAATGAAAAGGGTGACAACAAAGTAAAATAAGCAAATGAATATATGGGGAAGGCTTTCATGCCAGTAATGCACACTGATATCTACAACTTCATTCTATAGAAGACTGACTCAAATAATCAAAGTTGTATTATATTGACAATCTCCTTTCTTAGACATAGGTGCTAAAGATTTGTATTTCTGAAATAGATGTTTTTATTCATGATTTCCTAAAAGACAGTATACTTGTAAAGCTTTCCAAAA